ACAGTTACCCTGCTGCCTGATGTGTTCATGTAAACTTTGGAAGTTTTGATATTGTCCTTCTTTACTTGAGACCGTATCCAATTCTGCCATCCTCCAAAGTCCCAGGTTTTGCAAATTTTGCTTTCTCTTCTGCTTAAGTAAAGAGACTTCAGGGTTTAAATTTATTAACATTCTAAACTATTCAAGAGCTTGCTTGCTTGAGTAATCTCTCACACCCCTATCTTTTCCCCAGCTCAGCATCTTGAAAATAGTACACAATAAATACTAGCTGTCTGTTGCTAAATTGAGTGACTAAATGATTCAAGTGATGGTATTAATATGGGCATTTCAAAAAATACATATGGAAACCTCAAATAGCCAAAGTAATTCTGAGCAAAAAGCCCCATGCTGGAGGCATCACAATACCTGAAACTATACTATACTACAGAGCTGTAACAATAAAAACAGCATGGTATTGGCACAAAAACAGACAATGAATGAAGACCAATGAATCAGAATAGAAGACCCAGACATAAACCCATACTTCTACACCCAACTGATCTTCGACTAAGGAGCCCAAAACACACAATGGAGAAAAGACGACCTCTTCAACAAATGTTGCTGGGAAAACTGGATACCCATATGTAGAAGACTGAAACTAGATTTCTGTCTTTCACTCTGTGCCAAAATCAACTAGAAGTGGATCAAAGGCCTTAATATAAGGCCTGAAACCTTGAAACAACTCCAGAAACCAATAGGAAATATACTGGATCAGATAGGTATAGGGAATGACTTCCTATGCAGAACTTAAAAGGCTCAGCACCTAAGAGAAAGAATGAACAAATGGGACTGCACCAAACTAAAGAACTTCTGCATAGCAAAGGAAACAGTCACCAGACTCAAGAGATAGCCCACAGAATGGGAGAAAAATCTTTGTCAGCTCCTCATCCCATAAGGGATTAATATTCAGAATCTACAGGGAACCCAAAAAACTCATTCCCCCAAAGAATCAATAACAATGAAGAAATGGGCACATGAATTAAACAGGGACTTCTCAAAGGAAGAAGTGCAAAGTCAGTAAATAGATGAAGAAGTGTTCAACTTCCCTGGTTATAAAAGAGATGCAAATCAAAATCATCTCACCCCAGTTAGAATGGTCATAATCAATGGCAATAAGGACAAAAAATGTTGTGAAACAGAACCCTTATACACTGTTGGTTGGAATGCAAATTAGTACAACCTCTATGTAAAGCAGTATGGAGATTCCTTAAAAAGCTAAAGATAGAACTGCCATATATACAATGATACCATTCCTAGGCATCTACTCAAAGGAACCTTAATACAGGATACAATAGAGATACCTGCACACTGAAGTTTGTTGCAGCTAAGCTTTGGAAACAACCTAGGTGCCCTACAACTGATGAATGGATCAAGAAAATGTGGTATATATGCACAATAGAGTATTAGCCATAAGGAATAATAACATGGGGTTTGAAGGTAAATGGATGCAATTGGAGGACATCATGTTAAGTGAAGTAAGCCAGGCTCAGAATTACAAAGGCCACGTGTTTTTTCTCATACATGGACGATAGACTCAAAGATAAACATATATACAAAAACAAGCATGATAAGATATAAACTAAGATGTAGATCATATTTATAATTGTGGAACTACTCCATGGAACTCGAGGAATGAGGGAAAGGAAAAGAGAATGACAGAGCATCAGTAATATTGTAAAATCTGTGAAAGTAGAGGATACAAGGATGTGTACTGAAAGCTGTTGAAAAATGGGGGGTGGGAGGTAAAAGGGTAACGGAGAGTAATGGAAGGGATTGAATAGACCAAAGTAAAGTATACCCACAGTGGGCATACATTGAGAAACCCTTTTGAACATCAACTCAAATATTAAAAAGGAAAAACAGACTGTAAAATAGGTACAATGTGTGTGTGCAGGGTCTAATGGGAAGAGAGAGGGTGAATGAAGGCGATTAAGGTGAAGGTGTATGGTAGATGGACTTCATATACTTAAATGAAACAACTAAGAAACCTCTTACAACTGCTTTAAGTGGGTGGGGAGGGGGTTGAGGGGGAGAGATGATGGGGCAATGTAACTAATGTAAAATATAAGTCTAATCAGAATTGTCACTATGAATCCCCCCTCCCTGTGTAATGAATCTATCCTAATAAAAAATTTATTTAAAAAGTACCATGGTAGTCTGATAGGAGATAGTGTCATTTTCTCCCCTGAACTGATGAAATTAAATTCCAGAAGTAATAGCCTACGTCATCTCTGTGTAAGGTCAAACCCAAGAGTCCGAGCAGTTAAGACTTCTAGTGGTTTGTTTTTCTGGACTCTGTCTTGCTTTTCTATGAGAGAGCAACATCGGATTATGCTTTGGATTTCTTCTTATTATTTCTCAAATGTGGGAGAGTAGAAAGAGCCCTGCTTAGGAATCAGAAGTCCAAGGTTTGGTTTTGGCAGGACTTTTTGGCAGGTCACTTTACCAACCTAATCCTCTCTGTTCCTGTGTGGTTTTAATGTGTTCCCGGACATTTATGTATTAGAAACTTAATCCCTCAGTTCATATGTCAATGGTACTTGCAGAAGGGAGCCTTTGAAACATAATCATGATTAGGATTTGATGACGGTATAAAGGTGGGAATGCCATGATGGCAACCTTTTAACTTTATAAGAAGGAAAGAGAGAAGGAGCTAGCACAAGTGCTTTGTTGCTGCATGTGATACCTTCCACTGTGGATGATGCAACAAAAAAGCCCTCCACAGGTGCCCAGCAGACTCCCACCTGATGTTCTTGGAGTTGAGCTTTCCAACTTCCAGAACTATGAGCCAAATAATCTCCTATTTTAAAAATAAGTTATCTGGTTTCAGGTATTTTTGAATAGCAACAGGAGACAGTCAAAGACAGTTTCCAACTCTGCAAATTGAAGAAGTGATTTTTACATTCAAGGGTTTTACTTTCTAAACACTGTGTGAATTACTGTGATCCATGCTGTTGCCTGGCCTCTGTACTTTCTTTTTTGGTGTGTGAATTACAGCTAATTGTAAAAAATTAGTTCATTTTATCTCTTTCATCACAGTGGAGTTGTGATGAAATTTAAAGGTCATCTAACCTGATCTTTCCATTCAACGGAGGTGGTGACTTTGAGACTGACTCAGAAGTCAGCAGGGGTGGGTTGAAGAGGTGAGACTAGCACCCAGGTCTTCAGGCTCCCAGTCCTGTGCTCTTTCCACGGCTGTGAGAGTTCTAAAACTCAAGTTTGGCTGCCCAGGACCATTCATAAATCTACACACACTCTCACTCTCTCTCTTATTTCTAAATATTTATGACACAACAGACAAACTGTAAAAAAAAAAATCTTGTGTGTATATGTGTGTGAGTTGAGAGACAGCATTTCTTAAACATTTTTTTTTGTCCTAAGAATCTTGTTAGGAGTGAATGCATACTAACCTGCTAAACAAAGAGAATGTACTAGTTACTTGTAAGAATCACTCAGGCACAAGTGTTGAGAATCTTAGTGAAGACAGAAGCAAAAGAATGTGAAATGCGGGGTCAAGAGAATACGGAAAATTCTAAATAAAAGGATATAGCATATATGGTTGGTTCAGAAAAGAGAGTGCAGAGAAATAAGACTTCTTTTTCATTATCAACTCATATTAATTGCACAGAGTAATGGGTTTCTCTGTTATTTCCATAATACATATATCAGACTTTGTTCTAATTCACCCTCCTTAATTCTCTTCCCCTCCCCTCCCTGCCCCCTCACCTGGCCCTCTTTCCCTTTCCTATTAGGGATTTCTGTTTTTAAAAAGAAGGGTTTCAGAAAGATCAAAGTATATTGGGAAATGGTTGTGTATTAAAAGCTATTGTTCAGGTTGGAGAAAGTAGATGTCTTCAGGAAGACATAAGTAAGTAACAAATATGCCAGGCACACAATTGACAGTTAAAAATGGAAAATTTGAAGGTTTCCTGGAAAGTTTATTCACAGAGAGAGCTGTAAACTTCCTTTTTTTTTTAAACAGGGTTAATTCACTTTATTATTATATTTTTTAAAAATCCTATGTTGTAGCCACAGCTGGATCCTGGGTCCTCTGCACAAGACACTCTGGTGTGGGTTTTCACAAGATGGTCAGTGAATTCCTGATAGGGAGACTTGGTGAACACTGTCTCTTTCCAGAGGTCGGGGGTCAAGTAGCTGTAGGTCTTGGAGATGGCATCAAAGGTGCCCTTAGCAAGGCTGCCCAGGGTGGCAGTGCAGCCCCTGGCTGAAGTGTAGCAGTCATCAATACCAGCCATCAGCAGCAGCTTCTTGGGCACAGGAGCTGACACAATGTCAGTGCCCCTGAGGCAACAGCAGAGAACCACAGCGGCCTGTCACCTTGCATGGGACTGTGTGGGGCCTGCCAATCTTGTTCCCCCAGTAGCCTCTCCGCACAGGGACAATGGAGAGCTTGGCCAAGATGATGGCCCCTTGGATGGCGGTGGCTACCTCCTTGGAACACTTAACACCCAGCCGGACATGACCACTGTAGTCTCCAATGGCTACAAATGCCTTGAACCTGGTGCATTGGCCAGCCCGAGTCTGCTTCTGCACAGGCATGATCTTCAAGATCTCATCCTTGAAGGACGCCTCCAGGAAAAAGTCAATAATCTCAGACTCCTTGATGGGCAGGGAGAAAAGAGAGGTCTCCTCCAAAGACTTCATCTTCATGTCCTTGACCAGGCGGCCCAGCTTGGTGATGGGGATCCACTCCTTGTCTTCAGCTTTGCCTCCACGAGCCCCATGGCCACGGCCGCGACCCAAGTGGTCCCAACTTGGGCCACTGCTAAAGCCTCCGCGGAAGTCACCAAGGCCTTTCATGCACCGGCGTCATCCGCCATTTGGTGTTTTCCTGGAGAAAGAAGTAAACTTCCTTCTTCATGAGGCTTCTGTGGCCTGTCTAGCCAGAGGTGGGCAGGGATGCCTGAACTCCACTAATGTACTGTGCATTCTCCTTCCAGATGGCAGGGACAGCACGCCATGACCGAGAGATGGAGATCCAGTCTAAGAAAAAGCTCACCACGGCCACTGACCCTATTGAAAGACTACGATTACAGTGCCTGGCCAGGGGCTCTGCAGGCATCAAAGGACTTGGCAGGTAGGTTAGGGATGGCAGGGAGAGGACAGAGAAAGGCTAGAGATGGCCAGGTGAGGCTGTAGTATTGCTTATGTGATCTTGGGCAAGTTATTTCCTTTTAGGGTCTCAGTTTCCCTGGTGAAATGCAGTTTGAGAGTTGATCTCTGAGGTCTTTTGTGACAGTTTTTGGTTCTTAGTGCCCAATTCAGCAGGTTTGTGTCTGTTATAATAGAAGGCAGCCTTGGGACAATTGAGCTAAAGAGAGAAGCATATCTATTTAGATAGTAGGGTCACCTTACAGCAGAATGAGAGAGCTGAGTTGGAAGAGGGAAGATGGAACAGCAGAATTTGAAGTTCCACTCCGGGGTAGTCATGTCTGGCTCACCTCTGTAGACAGTGGAATTGCTTGTGGGATAATTGACATTCCACTGCCAGTGTGATACTCCTGGTTGGGTAAGTCCTGTTCTCACACTCTCTGACAGTGTGAGTATTCCTCAGGACTGAGAAACCACTGGGAAAGACTGTGACCCTGCTGAGGTCAGATCCTGTGTATTTTAACAAACTGCATGAAGTGTCTGCCCAAGGTAGGCATTGTGCACATTTTGAGGGCTTTGTAGGTGAGCAAGCTTCTCCAGCCCCCATGGGAAACTTAGAATGAGGGAAGTAAAAGTCACCTAGATGGGCCTCTCAGAAGCTGTGTGCTGGAGAAACACAGGGTGCCAATGGGAGGCATTCAACCTCGAGCCAGTGGCTGTGGAAAACGTCATTTCTAGCCAGGTACTGTACACCTGCGGTGTATCTTTGAACAGTCCCAAGTCTGAGATAAGCCTGGCTCTGTTAGAGGTCCAAGATATGTCTGAATGGACTCTGGTGGCCAGGCACTTCCCTTCTATATTGTGCCACCCTAACTTCTACACTTTCCATCCTGGTGTACCTCATTGTCCTTAGTGCAAATCTTGAGGATCCCTACCTTCCCTTCCACTGCTTAATCCAGGCATTCAATTCTATCTTGCTGCCTTGTCATCTCTACCTGCAGTCTTTTTTTTTTTCATTTTTCTTTTATTATTCATATGTGCATACAAGGCTTGGTTCATTTCTCCCCCCTGCCCCCACCCCCTCCCTTACCACCCACTCCACCCCTCCCACTCCCCCCCTCAATACCCCGCAGAAACTATTTTGCCCTTATCTCTAATTTTGTTGTAGAGAGAGTATAAGCAATAATAGGAAGGAACAAGGGGTTTTGCTGGTTGAGATAAGGATAGCTATACAGGGCATTGACTCACATTGATTTCCTGTGCGTGGGTGTTACCTTCTAGGTTAATTCTTTTTGATCTAACCTTTTCTCTAGTTCCTGGTCCCCTTTTCCTATTGGCCTCAGTTGCTTTAAGGTATCTGCTTTAGTTTCTCTGCGTTAAGGGCAACAAATGCTAGCTAGTTTTTTAGGTGTCTTACCTATCCTCACCCCTCCCTTGTGTGCTCTCGCTCATGCCCCCTGCCTCCCTCTGTTTCAGCCTCTCTAAGTTCTTCCTCAACTCAGATGGAGTCAGCCCCTTACCTTCCAACCCTGCCTTAGGATCTTTTGATCCTGTCCTTTAACCCCAGATCCTGAAAAACATCACTCCTTACTTTTGTACATTTTTCTCTTCCCCATCAATCCTATCTCTTCTGGTCTGCTATCTGCCATCCCCCAAGACATTCATCACTCTGGGCAATGTTGTCCCACCCTGTCTTGAGTCTTTATTCTGGCCAACATCAGGGTAATGCTTTGGCCATTATTTTGGCACCTTCACTAAAGTCTGGTGGTTTTCAACAGTATATATTCTTTCTCATTTATTTCCAATTGTCTGAGAAATATAGATATTTCCCCAGATTCTGTTGTCAATATCTTTAATTCCCTATGCATTTTGCTCGTTCCTGAATTAGTTCATCTCTACTCGAGTCCCTTGCATATTCTTGTTATCAAGTCCTCTGCTGAGCTTCAAATTCATTTCATAAATTATATCTTCTTTTTTTTTGATCAGGAGGGAAACCAACCAATTCATAATTAATCAACTACCCAGTGAGCATCTTTAGTCATTGCCTTACTATCCAAAGTCAGACAAAATTCTTCATCCCTTCCTGGAAACAGCTTTCTCTGCACCCCCTACACTTTCAATGGTATCAGCACTTGTACAGTTTCTTGTGTTGGAAACTTGAGAATTATCTTCATCAACCCACCACACTTACCCTTGCATTTCTACAATATCTACAATCTCTTTTGTTATTTCCAATCAATTGCTCACATGTGGACTCTCAGTTTTTTTCCTCTGGACTCTTACTGTAACATTCTTTTTGTTTCCTTTGCTTAGAAGCTTTTAGCCTTCTAATTCATTCATTATACTATTGCCAGATTGCCAGAGTTCTCTTAAACTTTTTTTCTTTTGGTGATATTCCATCTTATGAAAACCATACAATAGCTTTACAAAAGCTTAAAATAAGCCAGGTGTTAGGGCTCACATCTGTAATCCCAGCTACTCAGGAGGCTGAGATCAGGAGAATTATGGTTCAAGATCAGCCCAGGTAAAAAGTGATCAAGACTCATCTCAGTCAATAAGTTGGGTGTGGTGGTGCACATCTGTCATCCCAGCTACTTCTGAGGTTATAGTTAGGAAGACTGTGCTCTGAGTCTGGCCCTGGGCAAAAATATGAGACCATACCTGCAAAATAACTAAAACAAAAAGGACTACCGGGTGTGGCTCAAGTGATGGCCTGTCTAACAAGTGCAAGGCCTTGAATTTAAACCCTAGTACCTCCAAATAATAATAACAACAGCAATAATAATAAATAATAATAAAGCGTAAATTCATCAGATTTTAGGGCGATTTAAAATTCTCCAGATTCTAACATGGACCTAGTTTTCCATATTAATTCCATTTTCCCACCTAGTAGCTATTCTTCAGAATACAGGATAAGGTATTCCTTCAGATGCACCAGGAATCCCTAAAAACAGATGCTGACCCAAAATGCCCCCCTTCTCCTTTCACACAAAACTACTGATCATTCTTTTGAGTCTTTCTCTCTCCCTCCCTTTTATCCTCCCCACCCTCTTCTTCTCTCTCAATAAAGTCCTTACGGACAGAGACTGAATGTCTTTCACCTTTGTATTTCTCCTTATAGGGCTTACCAATGTTTGGCACCATATAGATGCCTAATTAATGTTGAATTTTATTGAATAATGCAAGGTATTTAATGATACAATGTTTATTTCAAATTTACTTATGCTTGACACAGAAACTGATCAGTTCATTTTCTGCTGCAGTGCAATTTATTGTCATTCATCCAAGTAATTGAATATTGACAGAGTGATTGCTACATAGTAAACATACAGCAGTAAGCAAAATACTCACGGTCTCTGCTCTCATGGAGTTTATGTTTTAATCTATGCACATATGCAAAGTGTTCTTTCTAGTTTTAAAATAAAGTGTGAAATACAAAGGCATGAAATATGTCATTTTTACATATGACTAACAAAGAACAAGTTGTGACTTTAAAATTACATATTACTATAGTATTAATTGCAAGCTGGAGCTTAACTAGTCTAGTCTTTTATAGAAAAGTGAGATCCAGAAAATTTAAGTATTATGCCCAAGATCACACACCTAGTTTTAGCAGTGGATTAGAACTCAAGTTCAGGTTTTCTGATCAGAACTGTGAATTCTTTCTACCTGTTAGAATGCCAACAAAATAGAAAATACCCAGGGCTGTTCAGAGTGTAGTAGAAGATGGAGGAGGAGAGGGAATATGTGGCAAAGAACAAAATCATAGCAGGGTGGGATGGGATTGAGGGAAAGACCTTTCCTTCAATGCAAAAATCTTTCCTTCATAGAAAAGGCTATGGGTACCACATGTTTGGAGGTGATCAAACACAGCTGGACATAATAAGGCATGCTTCCAGGTAGAGGTTTATGGTAGCTAAAGTAGTGTCTATACATTTATGTGGTCAGTGGATATGTATTGAAAAAATGAGAAGCCATATTTACATTCTTTGCTAGGTTCTGGAGACCTTTTCAAGAAAAATGTGGTAAAGTAAGATTTTCAAAGTGCTTACCTTCATTTTCTGCTTTTCTTTAATTGCAAGATGTGAAAATTTTGGTTTTTTGGTTCTATTTACAAAGACAGACATCTGAAAAACATTGCATATTAGTATAGTAGTTCTCTATTATTGTAGCAGAATACCTGAGATAAACCACTTATAAAGGAGAAAATGTTATTTTGGTTCACATTTCTGGGATTTCAGTCCATGGTTGGTTTGCTCCATTGCTTTGGGCTTATGACAAGGCAGTACATCATGGTGGGTAGAGAAAAGCTGCTTACCTCATGGCAACAGGGAAACAAAGAGGAAAAAGAAACTGGGAGGGCTCAGGGTCCCAATAGCCCCTTCAAGGGTATGCCCTCAATTACCTAACTTGTTTCCACTAATTCCTGTATCTTAAGGGCTCCACTGCCTCCTCATAGCACCAGAGGTTAGGAACCAAACTTTTAAAACATGGACCTTTGGGGGACATTCAAGGTCCAAACTATATTGCACAAGTCAAGTAATTAGAATCATACAGTGGAATTGTGTGTGTGTGTGTGTGTGTGTGTGTGTGTGTGTGTGCTTAAGGATTTGTTTTCCTTTATAAGAGGCTCTCTAATTTTGTCAGAACAATGACAAAAGAATCTTTTTTTATTTTACTCAAAAAAAAATCCTTGAGAGTGGCTGTTTTTGAATCTTTACACTTAATTCTTTGTGGAATTTTATTAGGTTTTTTTTTTTTTCAGGGTGTTTCGAATTATGGATGACAACAACAACCGAACCCTTGACTTCAAAGAATTTTTGAAAGGGTTAAATGATTATGCTGTAGTCATGGAAAAGAAAGAGGCAGAAGAGCTTTTCCAGAGATTTGATAAAGATGGAAATGGAACAATAGACTTCAATGAATTTCTTCTCACATTAAGAGTAAGTGGCCCTGTGAATCAGTGTTATCTGCCAAGTTTGTCTTGCATGTGGTTTGGGTTGGCTATTTGAGGTTTTGTTTTCAGAAGTTGCTAGTCTACTGTAGAGGAGTAATCAGGAGACTGTGAATAAGCTGAGAGACTTTGGGGGCAATCATAATGCATTTAATTCAGTGGCAAAAAATAATTTCCTATCATTGAAGGTGATAAGCTATTTATATGATACAAGAAAAGCTCATTTGCTTGTGTATGAATGTGTCTTTTAGCCTCCAATGTCCAGAGCCAGAAAAGAGGTAATTATGAAAGCTTTTAGAAAATTAGACAAGACTGGAGATGGTGTTATAACAATTGAAGACCTGCGTGAGGTATACAATGCAAAACACCATCCAAAGTACCAAAATGGAGAATGGACAGAGGAACAAGTCTTCAGGAAATTTCTGGATAACTTTGATTCACCCTATGACAAAGATGGGTTGGTAAGTGAAAACAAAGCTTAATCTAAATGAAATTTCTTGTTCTTCTCTTGAGGAACAATTGAAAATTTGTAAATGGGAAATAGACTCCAAGTCTTAAAAATTTCAACATGTTGATGCCATGTTTATTACAAATAGAGAAAACACTTCTTCAGGGACTGTCCAGAAAGTTGAAAACCAAAGTAATAAGATGTATGTGCCAGGCACATATACACACATACAGAAACACATATTGGTAGGAGGTCCCATATATAGCTAATATGGAATATATGGAAAATGTGATATTTTGACTGGACACTCCATTTCATGGTAACCATACACAGTCAACAAGCCACATTTGCATGACTAGACTACAATCATACATGTTAAAATTTAAAATGAGACCATAATTCAGTTTTTTTGAATGTAGTCACAAGGACTTCCAGAATGTTTGGTGCTTTTTGCATTTCTCTTTCTGAGCAACATGTGTCATCTCACTTTGCTTTATATGAAAATCCCTTTGAAAGGCAGCTTTTGGTAAAGGGAATGTCAGAGAACAGAATTCACCCCCATTTATTCTTTAGTATGCTTTGTGATTGACTTGCATTTCTAAATTACTGTGAACTTGAAATCAAAAGCAACCACCTCATCTTCATTAACTGTTACCTTCAGTTAACAAAAGCTTGGGAAGGAAAGGAATTATATATCTCCATCATTGTGTACAAGCTGAGATAAAAATGTGAACTTTTAACCAATAGCCATAAGAGGACTTTTTGAAAAAAACCAGAGCAAGTTAGCAGAAGCAGAACCTCAGGTGTATTACCTCTTAACCACTAGGCCTGACCAGTAAAGGTAAGTGGCACAGTGGATGGGAAGGGGTGTTAGGGAAGAAAAATAAGCCTTCCCCTTCTGAAGGGAATTTCCCCCAACTTTTCTCATGAAACTTTATGACGAACTTTATGTCACCAAAGGGTAGTGATATTAAAGGGACTTTTTTTTCCTTCCTGTTGATGTTTTCCAGTCAGGAATGGAGAATACCCTCTATTGCAGGCTGAGGGTTTGTGGAGACAGATTTAAAAAAAGGAGCCTAGATTTTGTAGGGCAGCTAAGTCTTTAGGATAAAAATAACAGAACTATATATTTCTTCCAGTACTGCTTGCCTTTGATCTCCAAGATGTCAGTGGAAAAATATCCAACTGTCATTTCCCCTGACTAGCTCAACTCTGCATGGACCCTGGTTTCTTGGTCTTCTTCTGCAGGTGGTTCCTCTTCACCGCTGGGGGAAACCTCAGGTGCTCTTTTCTCTAACTCAAGTCAAAGTAGCCATTTGTGATTCAGCTGATTTAAAGTTCCCACTCTTGCCCTTTTTGACATTTATCCTAATCAGCCACATTGATCTCTCAAATATTCATAAAGGTTGTTGAGGTTTTTCACAGTTACAGCATTTGATGTCACTGACCTTGTAAAAATATTCAAACCTGGCTCTTCAGATCATCATCTTCAGGGTTATATATGGATGATGGAGATTGCTAGCTGCACTGTAGACCCATAGAATCTGACTTTTTCGGGGGCAGAGACCAAGGGTTAACATACTTAATATTTGTGTCAGTTGTCTCCTACACACATGCATATGTGAGACCCTTAGCCCTAAAAGATTCAGAAATGTTTAATTAATAATTATAATGTACACATAGACTCATTTAGTATGCTGAATCTTGACAACATTTATTGAACATGTATCCATTGGGAATTATGTGATAGGGCTTTATAGGAATATCTCATTTAATAGACATAGTAAAAATGCTTATGAAAAAGTTATGTACTTTGAATTACTTTAAACACACAAGGAATTGTTGATATAGAGGAACTCATTGAAAATTCTTTTATAGAGAGGATAATTACTTTCTATGTATATATTATTTATTTATATTTATAGACCACTGATAAACACAGATTACTATTGGCTGAGTCCAATAAGCATAATTCTTCTTTATGCATTTTGTTGTTTTGGGGGATGGGGTAGAGGATAGTACAATTGAGACAACTGTGGATCCTGTGACTTTTTTTCTGTTCATTTATGATTCTTAGAAGAGGTAAGCACATTTCCAAAGATATGGTTAAGGAAAAGTATGCTGTTATGGACTAGAAAGAAGATTTTACTTATTTAAGGATTGCCTTCTTGTGATTTTTTTTTTTGTTCCTTATAACTGCTAAAAATTGAGTGTTAACCAATGAACAATGAATGTCCCAGATAGCCATCATCATTGTGTCAGCATCTTTCCATATAAGCAGATCCATTCTTTGGGCTAAATTCACTGTCACAGAGGTTAGTCAACCAGGAAGACAATCTATCCTGACTCTATTAATTGCATCAGGCAACCTGAATGAATTAGAGTGTATACATCACCAACCCCTATTAACACTTAAGAATGGTAATTGTTTTTTCTCTACTTCCCTAAAGGAAAGCATAATAAAATTCTAGCATGCATAAAACAGCAGCTGATATTGCAAAGAGACAGTAAATAGTCATAGTATGGAGACAGAACCTGGGGCAGGGTGGGAGGCAGAGAAGAAGAGGTAATGTTTTTGCTCACTCTGAGTCTTGAATGAGTAATTTGTATCTTAGAAACACACACAAACCAGGCATGTTTACTAGAAATCTGTTTCTTTACCTACAGGGCAGAACTCCACTTTCTGAAAAGTGAGATATGACTTCTCCTGACACACAACAGAGCATGTTTCTGACATACCCCCAAAAGACAGTGTTAACATATTTTTTTTTAGTGTGCTTATTCCTAGTCTCAGTCTCACATTTTTGAACCAACAGACTCTTGTTCTTAAAGAAAAAGTTGACCACCTGTGCTTCACTTTCCTTTTAGGCCTGTTTGGACATTTTCAAGACCTTCTTCTTCCTCTCTCCTGAGCCACTTGCGTCATCATCCTCAGTTTTGCTCTTCTTTCACTTTTGTTTTTGATCTATCCCTCAACTACGATCACACAAAGCCTCTTTGAAAGCAATGTCCTTTCTCTTTACAGGGATGGAAGATGGGCCTCCACTGAAAGAGTGAGAAGCAAAGTTTCGTTTTTGTGTCTAACTTTTCCACTGCAGGTGACCCCTGAGGAGTTCATGAACTATTATGCAGGTGTGAGCGCATCCATTGACACTGATGTGTACTTCATCATCATGATGACAACGGCCTGGAAGCTCTAAATGCATGCATGACTCCTGGAACCAGGCCTTGGGGACAGTTACCTGACTCCAAATGATTAAACATCAGCTCAAAAACCAGGATTACATTTCATTTCATGTTCATTCCAGTGTTTCTTCCTTGTGAACACACAACATTTTCTAGGACCAAAGACAGGGCAGAAATAAAGTCATCCAGTTAACTGTGAGTTTGTCTTCTCTGAAGCTGTTTCCTTAGCTCTAAAATAAAATCACATCTGTAAAGCTCCTAGTGCTATGGCTGATAGATGCAGTTGTCTAATCAAATCGATTTCTTCCTTGGCTATTAATGAAATTTTTAATATATATAACTCCACCACTCCTGCCCATGTACCCAATATCTCTCTTTACTTCTTTTTAGATAGTTTGTTTCTAGGTGGGAGAATACGTCTGTTTGTGTGATTATAAATCTTTTAAGTGTTTCAGTCTTAATTTGCAGATCAGAAGGAGACCACATGTTAGCCTCAAATTCTATAACTAAATCTTTAGTTTCACTATCCAGGGTTTACAGAAACTTTGGTTTGGAAAAGAGATTTAACTGATTTTTTGTCATTTAAAAGGCTGATGTGAGAGTGCTTGTCACTTTTTTTGAGCAGTAGATCAATGACTATTTAAAATATTCCTATGTTTAAAGTTCTGAGGATAGACCATGCTCTCAGATTTTATGTGAAATATCTTGTCCTGTCATAACCAGCAAACTCCACCTGGTGAAATGCTTGCCTCTTTCCTCCCTGATGTTGGACAATCATGTTGGCATTCCCTTCATATGAAGAAAGATGTTGGATGTGACATGGACTAGATTTGCAGGCATACTCCAAAGCAGATTTTTCCATCAAGATACATTATGGCTCAAACCTTCCTCTGTTTCTAGTTCTGGTATCATATTGTTGATATGTGGGAATCTTCTCATGAAAGGCTAGTAGACACAAGGGCAGCCCCAGCTACTGAGAAAAGTAGATAAGTAGATATTGAAACTACAGCTCTTGCTTATATCTTCTGTGTCTGGGGCCACAGATAAAAACAGTGAGCAGCTTCTGCTTGTAGTGCTGGAAGTAACGACCATCTGTTTTTGTTGCTCAAGGGAAGGCCCTCTTTTTTCCATCTCTGGTCCTGATTGTATTTATCCTCTGGTTTTGGGATATGGGTTGGGCTAATGGTCTCCTTTAAAATCTTATGTAGTTAAGTGACTCTGGACTCAAGATATGAACACAATTGCCATTTTTATACTACTTTGTTTATTTAGTTTTTATTTTACAGACTTGGAATTTAAGATAAGGGTACACTGTGATTTAAAATTGTGAAAACAGGTGCTACCAGATGAGAGCTATAGCAGTCATTTAACAAGGCATCTGGCTTTGTTTCTTGTTTGGAAACTTAACTTATTTATCTTGACAGACTAGCAAAGGGATCTTTGTCCTGAGTTTGGGCATGTCCTCATATCATAGAAGCCAGTTGTTTTCAATTAATTATACAAATTACCTTTCCATTGGATTTATTACTTAGACTTGTGTAGAGGTGAGAGGCAAAAGATACCAATGTTATGAAGAAATATGTGGAAATTATGTAGAAAGCCAAAAGAAATTATGAAAAAATGTATAGAAAAATATCCATGTTTTTTGTAGCCTGTACCTTCAAATTGTGGCTAAGGAGAGGTCCCCTGTTTCCTGGGTATGGTGGGTTTTAAGCCTAGGGCTCTAGATAGATTCATGACTTTGATTCTGGGTATGACTCATATCTTGCTTAACTAGGGCTATAAAGTGAGCATGTGATTCTGAGCAGAGCCTGGGTTGCAGCTATCAGCTTTGTCTCCTCCAGTGGTACTTTGCTTCCTGCCTAATGGGGGCACAGGGCACAGTGATTGTATTTCAGATAACCTGTGCCTTACAATGTATTTAGTCACTTTCAGTTGCTTCCCTTCTAGCAGCTTTGGTTCTAGGCCCATTAATGAGATTCAACCAAAGCTCTATCACCTCCAGAAACAAGATTTATAAACCAGATGGTCAAGATTCATTCCACTCTCTCTTGGTCTCATTTATGATTTCTGGCATAGTCAGGTATAGCCCATTATTTAACTCTGCTCCTTCTAGTAGCCATAGAAGGGACAGAGAAGAGTCATTTAAAAATTTGCTAAGTTTAATGGATATACTTTCTGTTTATTTTTCATATTTAAAATCTTATTCCATTTACAATCTAAATGTAACTTTTTGGATCAGAATATAAAACACACAAAAAAAACCTTCCAAACATCCCTCAGGAGTACCTCACCTGTTGGACCTGGACCCCACATAGGAAATTAAACAAACAAGCAATGATAAGAAGATGGGATTAACAGCTTGTTATGTTACCAGACTGATGTATGTAAACATTTTCAAGTTGGGATCTGTGAGAACAAGCCACCCACAAAAATACTGAGTCTGGGTTTCTAACTACTCCCAAAGAAACTTATGTAAGAACAGCAAAAGACTTGGCCACTAGCCAGAGTTGGCACACAGTGCAAATGAGAATCCCAAGATGTGTTAAATTGTAGATTGAGGCAGAATTCTTCCCGCCAGTCTGTGGGACTCATTTACACTGCCATCATAATTTAGTCAGTGTCTTCCCAGGCCCACATGACAATATGCTTGCTCTGGGTGGTTTGGGAGCAGACTTGGTTCCACATTTTATACCCTGACAAAAGCTTGAAGACAGAGCTAAATGCCCTCCATGTAGGCTGCCAAATGGCTCAGCATGCTTCATGGCTTGAGAGTCAAAGTCCGTCTTGTCAAGAGATATTTATTGAGCCACATCCTCTTTTCTAGGCTGTGGAGTTAGAGCAGTGGACGAGAAGAAACCCAAGCAAAACCAATGGATTTCAATTCAAAATAACAACTCATGGTTTTTAAGATATGCAAAGGGCAGAGAGAGGGTAGGAATCATAGACACTGAAATGCTCCTCCCTAATTCTCATATAACCTAGAAGCCAAGAGAGTTAGAGTCTTTTATGTATAGCACTATGTTGGATAATTGTGTAGTAAATTTGATCTACATATTCTCTCAAGCCAATGCAAGCATAATTGCCTCTTATTCTTGGAGGGAGACAGTTGACTCATTCCCAATTCTCTTGGCCAATGAGGATTGCCTTAGTGAACTATGAGAGTACAAGCATGAATCTACCTGAAGATACAGACTGTTATACTGATGTTTAATCAAGTGGAGAGATCAAATTAACCAAATGTGTTGTTGGATGGTGTGTGGGTGTCCTTGCACTCCTGCTTCATGAAATCCTATTAGCATACTCTGAATCATACAATCCTGGATTTATTCTTATCTATTTTGAGTAAAGAATGGAAAATGTACAACTTCCAGTTTCCCTAATTGGTCAGCAAACTTGCTTTCCTGGAAATTATTGACTGTTCTTTTAAATTAAGAACTTAGTGAATGAAATAGAAAAGTTTTAAATCTTGGAAATGCTATGACTCAAAATGAAAACAAAGGCATCAAGGGTCTGATAGATTGTCATGTAATTGATCCTTTGACAGCCAAGGATTCTCAGCGTGGCTTTATGCTGCCAAGCTGCTTATATAAAAAGTAAACTATTTTGATAGAAATACTTCTTTTGTTCTAATAAAAATCCCAGTAAGTTAATGCTTAAAGTTATTTCTTCTAAAACAGATGACAGGTGAAATCTGTTGAAAGAAATATAAACAAGTGATTGATGGGGCTTCTGAGAACACGGCTGTGTGAGAAGAATTCTTTCTGCCGTCTCGGTTGGTGCGGTGAGAGGCTGTGGTGAAACAGCCCTTCCTCTCTGAGAATAGCACGGCCTTCTTGTTTAATTCTCACATCTGCTTCTCCAAAGCCAGTTTTTTTTTCCCTCAGCAAAATGGAGTGGTTCTCCTCAGGAGGACAACCCACTGAAAATGTAAGCCTCCTACAATGTTAGCCACCTACCAGTGGCCAAGGTTTTGATATGGATCTTGCAGAAAAGTATGATGCATAAGGGAAAGAAAACCTCAAAATGTGATGTCCTTTTGTCATTTGTATTAGATTATTTTCCTGATTCTTCATAACAGAATTTACTGACCTTAACACTTGGCACTCAGAGACTGGTATTGATTTGGGAACATCTTGATCTTAAGCTTGAAAGATTTCAGTGGCTGGTCTCCTGGAAACTCTCAGGCCACATAAGGAACTGATGACAATCAGCACTCTGAGAGATCCTTAGAACAGAATGGGAACATGAAATTGAGAGAAAATGACAGATGGCAGAGTGGCTTGCTCCCTCCAAGACTCTTGTGAGTCTCAGTGCTTCCATGTTGATGGGATAAAGTGCTACCAAAACACAGGGCATTATCAAATGCCAAGCATGACCTTACTAAATCATTTTTTTTGTTTCCAAGGGAACTGGGAAATAAAGTACCATTCCATAAGCTTCATACTTAGTCATGTCTAAAATCCTATTTAGCAATATCATTCAAAATCCATTTACTTAAGATTGTTATTGAAGTTGTAAAGTATGGATAGTGAATCACCCAGAATTTCAGCTCTACTAATTCAATTCATTTGGAAATTGCTTGAGTGGAAATTTACTTTTTATTTCATCTAAAGTAGAACAAAAAGGGAAGAAGGTTGTTTAAAAAGTCCATAAAGTAACACTGGTAAAAAGAGCTATGCCTACATATACTTTTTACAAAAAGGGAGGAAAGTTGTTGAGTAAATCATTAAAGTAACACTGGTGAAAGGAATTATGGCTACCTATATTCATATATGCCTTACAGGTTCTTGGAGAGATCTCTTTGTATAGAAATGTAATCAATATGCTAGTCATAAAAAGTTCCCACATACACCTTAAAACAATCCCAAGTAAATAGTTAGCTGACAATACTTTATTATGCAATTGTAGCTTAAGCTATTTCTACATATGAGGTATTCCCATTTGTAAATACTATCTTGATAGGATTTTTAAATAGAATTGATTTCAAGACAATATTCTGTTTGATAAAGAATTATGATACAAATTTTAAAGTATTTTATTTTAAAAGCTACACATGTGTCTAGTAGTGAGCTATATATGAATTGAAAGCAAGAACTTGACTTTTTGAATTTCACCTTTTAATTTGTGCATATTAATTGTACAAACAGGTTTCACTATGGTATTTCATATACTTTGATTGGATTAACCCCTTCTATTGCTCTTTCTTTTCTCTGGCTTCCCCCATCATTCTTAACA